ACAAACTAAAGGGAAGCTCAATGTATTTCATTAACTTTTGCCAACATTTAGAACTTACATCCCACCTTAGGGTTACAAATGAGCATAAGGTGTTTATATATCATTCCCTTGAAACAAATGTGGATGATTCAAAGCAAGCCAAATTGTCAAAAATTACAATTTTTGTTAATTAAAATTAAATCCCGTTTTTGGGGCAAAATGGCCACTTTGCCCCCATCCAGAATCTTGAAAATGACGAGATGGTCCCCAAAAAGGCACCATAGACTATGGTGATCGTTCTGGGCCTATTTCAAGCTCTTCCGGCAACCTTCAAGCAAAATAACATCGTAAAAGTGGTGGTCTTGGTGAGACGATCATTTTGATATATGATTTGATCCTTGAATCGAGGTTTCTAACTCCTCTTGAAATCCGACGAAAGATGAGAAACTTGCAATCTTGAATGCTTGATCTTGTCCATTTCTTGATGTTTTGGATCGATTTTGTCATCATAGAGTGACGGGGAAGCCGCCACGATCATTTTGTGATAAAAATGGCTCGATTTGGTTGCCGGATCATCACTTTCTGAAATGGGGAAGTTGTCGGATTATGGGATTCCGGTTGTTAGAAAATGTCCCTTGTTGCAACCTCAAAATACGACATCTTTGGCCTTTCATCACCTGTGATGTTTACCTCAAATCGAAGCCCTCAACATCACGGTCACAACAGACCCGTTTTCAAGACGATCCGAGGTCGGCTCTTCATGATACGGCCACCTGGTCAAAAGGTCCATCTTGCAAAAATCTGCAACACATGAGTTTTTTTATACAACTTCTCTCTTGGATTTCTTCTGTCTCGGGCTGTGCCATACATCAAAATGTGCGCGTTGACGAGACGAAGAACCCTCTGAAATTTGGGTTTGATTGGGCTTAAATCGGAGAAGTTACAGCCTTTGGAAGATCATCACGAGTTCAAAAGGCACAGTTTCCATTACTGGAAACTGGTTCACCGAGGGTGTACCAAAATAGTGTAAAGCCTTCCCTTTTGGGTAAATTGTCCCTAGAATGGTCCAGAAGTGCCAGAATGAGCTGAAATTTGATATCTGGGGGTTTTGGATCTTCTGAATCCAATGGAAGCAGTCTAATACTCATCTAGGACCCCAATAATACGGCTGTAGTTATGAGATACTTTTTCAGTATGCCTGGAGCCGAATTTTGCCTAGTTATGAGGGTACTTTTTCCTCCTTATTTGCACCGGGAATACAAGTGTCAAAAAATACCCTACAATATTTGGGACATTGAAATATTGCCTAGGTTTTTGCCCAATGTTAAAAAAGATACGATTTCTTTGCGACGACAGGTAAATTGTTGATGAAATTTGTTCCCCAACCTCATTTGTGGATTCTCCATCCAATCAAAGGGTTGTTTACAAGGAAAAAAAAGAAGAAAAAAAGTAAAAGAATACGGATTTATGAAATTTTGGTTCTATATCTACTATTTGCTCAAAATTTTCATGAGCTTCAATCGACTAGATCAAATCCAAAATCTAAGTAAATATCTGGATTTGGGAGGTTTTGATTGGGGCTGTCTAAGGAACTTTTGACAAGGATTCGAGGAATGAATTCATGACGAGAATGATTTGGAGGGATCAGCCACAAATTTTTTGGAAAATTTCCTTTTTCGAATTTAAAATATTCCTAGGATAAATTTTATTATTTTGACTTTAAATTCATATGATCCATCTTTTATATATTTTTTTATATTTATTCTTATTTTTATATTTACAACATTTCACTATTTTTCCACTTTTTTGGGCTTTTTGGGGCTTTGGGCAGCTTGGTGCAAACTACACCCAAGTAAGTCAAACCAGTCAGGGTCACAGTTATGCGGCTGAGCCGCATCCAAACATTAATAAATACCCAAGCAAGCTTATGTCAAATTCTATCCAAGTTGTGCAATTCCTCATAACCCTAGCTCGTTGATTGGAGCTTCTCCACATTAAGATTGGGCATCCTTTTTCTTTCCCTACATTTGTGGCACCATCCCCATTCATGATTCCCCAAAACCAAATCTATCATCTATTCAAACCCTTCCATAAACCTTAGCCAAACCCTAGGTAAACTAGCTCAATAACAGGAATGGATTCAAGGTCTAGTTGGTCAGGGTAGTGAGGTTCCATACATGACATCTTGAGTTCTACTCCTATCACGGGTAGGGGAACCCTTCCTTGCTAATCCACAAAAAAGAAAAAGGACAAAAAAAAAAAGAGCTACCCTAACCATATACATAACTTAAATTCAAACCCTAATTTTTATTAATTAAAACCTAGGATCCTTCTCATCATCCTTCTATTAAATGGACCTGCTAAACTCCAGCAACTTTAACCCTCTTAGAAAACCTAAAACCTATCATAAACCTTACCCTAACCCAACCAAACTCTTCCCAATAAAGTTAACTCTAGTTCTATTATCCAATTCTATACCAATTAGGAAGCATTCATAATGCCCAACACCTACTCTCTTAATCTTTGTAAGTACCAGAGCCCTTCAGAACTCCCAAATCCTAACTTAACTATAATTCCTAATCAAATACCAAAAAAACATTTCTTTCTATGCCCACCTCGTGCGTCAAATTTATGCAGGAGCCATGTTATCTTGTGCAACTCCATAATGGGAAAAACACGCGGTATTACAGAGACACCCCTAAACCTATTCTATATGCAGTTTGCTACTTCTAAAGTAATGACCCCATCTGAAGAAATGGAGATGACAAGCAACAACACGTGAGAGCTAAAAGCAAAAAAATGACAAACTAAATTGAAAGACTTTCCGAGTAAAGGAAGTTCAAGAGGCATCTTCCATTCATATCAATTTTGGTCTTAGCTCGCTACGACACACCTACCAGCTCTCGCTCTCAGTCGACACACACGCGAGACTTGCAGCTCGACTTTGCACTTGCCTTTCCTTGCCCTTGCCTCGTTCACTCCTTGCTAGCTCACTTAACTTGCTGCTAGCAGAGGTGGAACGCTACCCCCTCGAGCTTTGCTTGTAGATCCTACCTGCTAGTTAATAGTGCTGGTCTATCTAGTGGGCTGAGTAAGCGAGAAGGAAGTAGGTAGCTAGTTCAGAGGTAGGGAGAAAAGCTGCATCTATCCGGGACTAACTAGAGGCCAAGCATTCCTACTCTTCATATTATAACTTCTTTTCAACTTCCTCATTTTTATAGAGAAACTCATACTCTATCGAGAAGAAGTGGACTAGTAGTTCGAACTCATACAATATCACCTAATAAACAATGATGAGATTTGAGGAGAAGCTCTAGATCCTCCTACCGAGGTTATGCAATAAAAGGCGGTTTATGGTCTCCCCATCATCTCTCTACAAATGCTATGTTCTTTAATCGAAACCACACTTCTGAGGACACTTCCGAATGAGAAGCGTGTCAATCATAGCCAACCAGAACATAATAAGCAAGGCAGTCCAAGGATTCCCCATACAAAATGACTTGGAAAGTCATCCTATTATGATATGTTGAAGAATAGCACAATTAGAATCTACTTTTGATAACCCACTTCCACATTGTCATATTATCACCTCATCATCAATTCATCATCATCCAATCCTTATCAAACCTAAGGTCAGTTTTGAAGGACGATTACAAAGGGCACCTCACTACCGCATCCTCCCCACTCCAAGTATTCCTAGAACAATACATCACTAGAAGAAGCAATGCCAACAATCATGGAAACGAGTCAACAAGATTCCAAGCCACTACACATCAAACTGGAGCTTCAGTCTAATAGCATTGCCAACCATAAAACTAAGCCAAACTCTAACACTAAAAAACAAATGTGACCCCGAAATGCAAATACCACCCTAACAAATCACCCAGCATCCCTATGCCCTATGATGGAAATATCATCTTTGAACTTGGACATAAACCCCTAAATCCTCCAAAAATGCTAGTGCAATTAGCTTAACAAATGTGTATCTGCCAAATAAATATGAGATATATACAGCCCAACGGACTCCTATTGCTTAGGCTTGCACCCTTTCTTTCATCTAATTATAAACCCCGTGTGCATCTCATGCGATCAACAGTACAGAAATCATAGCAATAACACTACCCAGTACTTTCTCTAAAGAGGAAGATGAAATATTACAGAACTATATTTCGTGAAAGTTCAACAAACTTAACTAAATGCAGTTTCAAATTATGAATGCACTGAGCAGATCGATGGGTGGATAAAAAAGTTGTGTCTATACATTCTCAATTTCAATGATCTATTATGGATTGTTTTAATGTTTTGCCTCGTCAAGATAAGTTGATTGTAGCAATTTCCTTATATATAATTAAGGAAAGAAAATCACAATAACTGATTCACCAAATCAAGCAATTAAGCTGGTTTGACTTCAAGTTGGATAGTGTTCGGTCAAAAATCCAAGTTCAATCGGTCTGAAGAGCATCAACCATCTAGGATCAGCATACTAGTCAAAATCTTTCAAAAAAATTCTGCTAAAATTGTTAATTAAATAAGTTTATTATCAGATCTCAAATGCATCATGCATCTCAGCCTCACATTTATATCCACAGTACCCCCCATGTAATTGAGCTGATTAATTTCCAAAAGGAATATCTTCAAGTAAAGGGGCAAAATTCACCACATTTTCATAGTTCAGTTTGACAACAAGGCAAAGCCTATTCACATCAAACTTAAATATCTCGTTTTTAATTCATGACCGCTGCAAAAAGATAAAACTGAAGAATCACAGTTTATCATGGAAAAATCAGTTCCCACCAAATCTAATATAGAAACCCTAACCTTAGAAACAAAACAAAGCAGCAATTGGCGCCTATATAAAGCAAATTATCGTGGCAATCACTCTGAAAATAAAATCAATTGCTAGAAAAATTTGTGGAGGAAAACTTGCAATCAAAACAATTTATCAAAGGATTCGAAGAAAAATGCGATTCAGGATAAATTGATATTAGGGTTACTTCTTAAGAGTGGAATTAGGGTTTTACCTTTTCGTCTTGGTGCAAAGCCATGTAGACGTGAAGCCTATCAAGAGACTCCCAGAACACGAAGGCACCAAGCGTCATGGCGAAGAAGGTTGCGACCTTCACCATCTTCTGATTTGACTCTGAACCTCTCTCTCCTTTTCTTTGAAGTTTTTTTTAGCAGAGAGGTATCTTACGGGAGAAATGGAATGAGTTTATCAGGAAATATTTGGCGATAGACCATGTTTCTTGATCGAATTACGGCAATAGCCTTGCATTTCTCTTTGTTTCGACTTTCAAGAATATGACCAAATTGCCCCTTAATGAGAAAAATGGCTTTTGGGCCTATAAGGGGCAATAAAGGAAAGTTTATCCAAGAGATTCTGAAAAGTTCATGTAAAGCTTAGGCTTTATGAAAACAAAATAAAGCCAACACCTCAAACCCTCGTCCGGAAAGCACTTTCGGTTGCAAAAGTTACGGTGGCTCTAAAATAAATTTTCAACACTAATCATAAAATTTGAAACTCAAAAGTTTTCATGGCGGCTCTAAAATAAATTTTAAACACTAATCATAAAATTTGAAACTTAAAAAATAGTACAAATCTTGCATATCTATGATTTAAGACGAAATGGATGGTCTAAATAATATGTTACAATATACACTATTTTTAGAGCTTATAATCCTATTTTCTTGCACAACCATAATGTTCAAGTTGAAATGATCGATGTAAAGATTTTTCTTGAAAATTTAAGTTATGAAGTGAAGCTTTACTTATTTTAACTTGACTGCAGCCCTATCAAACCATTTTTTTTTATTTTATGGTAATAAAAATGTTTAAATATATATTTTTATTTTTAAATATACATATATTTTCTGAGTTTTTTTTTTATTGTCTACAGAAAGACCATTTATCTTTTGTACATGAAAATCACAACCATTCCTACTCATTAGATGTTAAATTAGATGGCTTGGGATGAATCACGAAGTCCAATAAAAACTTTTTTTTAAAACTTTGTGTTTATTCAATGACACTCTTACAATATACCCAATTGAAATCAGGGGTACAATAATGATTATGACCTCCATATACAAAAATAAATGAATAGTTTCCATTTTTTATTTTTGTCAAAACATCCTCAATCCCAAACTCGGACTTTGAAACATTGATCTTTCTTTTTTGCCTCGATTTTAGCACGAGAACTTCATGTTTTGAACTGGTTACTTATATTTCTTTAGGTGCTAAATTGATTTGGAACTTAAAAGTTTGGAAATTGTCACTTTAGAATTTAACTAAACAAGTGGTTTGGACTGTGAAGTTCCGAATCGTATCGTTTAAAGTCACACCTCAAGGCGTATAGTGTGCTCCTATTGAGCGTATTGCAGAGTGGAATCCCTCAAACAAAAGACTTATTTGCATTCAAAGTTTAATTCAAGTGTAATTTTTTTTCACATGAAAATACTTCATACAATTATTATTTGCGATTGTAAGGTGGATCCCGAAAATTCAAAAAAAAAAAACAAAAAATTTGCCGAAGTAGCAAGTTTACAATACACACCTTAAAGAACATGAAGAGACGTTAAAAGATATGTGTACAATTTTACATGGGCTTACCATTCTTTCTTTAAACCTTTTTCATTAAGGTATGATCCTTAAGGTGCGCATTATACATGTGCTCTCTTAGTGAAATTTTTTTTTCTTTTTCATTTTTTAAATTTTTTATATTTAGTTTACAATCCCAAATGATTATCTTTTTAAAGGGAAGGGTTTCTATGCTTCCCCTACAGCATAGAAGTTCTATCCT